CTAAAGTACTTTGAAAAATAACTAATTTATCAGAATTTATTAAGAAGTATTTATCGTTAAATTAAATTAACCATGCCTCAAAACTATTACAACGGTTTCGAAAGAGACCTTTTTAAACTATATACGTGTAGTTCGGCGATAAGATTATGAGCCTCTGGAAGTTCAGCCTACGAACGCGCTGGCAACAAAACTGATCTTATTGTAAGTTAGTAATGCCAAAGTGCAAGTAAGTTAACTTTAGGACTAGTAAGTAAAACTTAGCTGTAAGAAAAAGCCCCTCCTCTAGCTGCTTAAGCCGCACGGCAGCAATTTATTATAAATAGTTTAAATGAAACAAATTCCCCTTCTCCACAGGGTTACTGTGGAGGGGACAAAAGAAAAAAAAACGAGCTGGCTGCCGTGGGTCTGGCGCGCGGGCCGCGTACCCTTGATCGGCTTGTGAGGCCCTCAGTCTGAGAATGTCTGTATTCAGATCGTTTTACAATGTCTGAGAGCGTGGCTGGCCCTTTCGTAATTAAACCCAAGAGTAAAAAATTGTTCGAAATGACGAAAAGCGCCTCGTTCTGATAGTTTTCAATTCGTTATTGTTGAGGAATTCGTTGTTACCGGTATAGCAAATGGCTGAACTTGCGGCAGAGTTGACTGGAATATCCGTTTCCAGCGTACTGAAGTGTACTCAGGAAAGAGCTAACAGTCAAGGGGCAAGAAGACGGCATCAACGCTTGCGAAATTGTTGCAGCTTGTGAACAGCGATTTGAATTTTACCCGAACCAATACATATTAATTACATTCGGATTTTGTTTCAAAGAAGAGGGAGAAGAAACATTATTCAGGTCAGGGATGGCATCATTTTCTTTCCTGGAGCAGACCGATCGTAAGTAAAGTAGTTGCATGAACATGACATTCGCATGACAGCTCTTACTCAATTAGAATGTCAATTAGAATGCGAGGTATGCTGCTCACGTAATCGAAAGTACTGCGCTAGGAGTTGTCCAATCAGAAGCGGAGTGTAGCGCAAATAGTTTTTTACCTTCAGTTTGTTTACATCAGGTTTTTTCTCAAAGGGTGAACGGATAATAGGTATTCCGTGCAAACTATTTTTTGTTTTTCGATGATTTGCTCTGGGATTTATAACGTTTCCTTAACCCGCTTGATTTTATTAATTATAAAAATCTATCTAATTTGTTAGGACAATAAAATTGTCAAATGAGCAATAGAACTACTAATTCAATTTGCTTGGAGCAGGAAACAAGAGAGTAGCAAACTTTTCCAGTAAATAAGCAAATAGTTTTTGCTAAAGTCTCCCAAACCTCAGTATATAAGTGCAGGATTGTATATAATTTCTATTTTATTTGAAGACACATTTAAATTGAAGTTTAGAGTTTTTAAATGAATTCGGTCATACATTGAGAACGTCAAATTAGTCATTAAGCAAATACATTTTTTTTTTTTAATTTTGAACATTAAAGTGAACCACTTATATATTTTTATTTACTTATTGTTAACAATACATGGACCTTCCAAACTTTCCATTCTTTTGCAGAGAAAGGAAAACTGTAGGTACATCAACAGCACATACTGTCTCGCTTTATTGGAAACAGCTACACAATATTGAAATATTACATTTTCTGCGCTACTAACACCTCAGCAATTATTTTAAAACGTCCAATTCACCAAGAAGTGAGCAACGTACTGTTGCCAGAGCAGCGTTATCAAAACTAGGTGTATTTGCTTGGCTAATATTTAATTGGCATCAAAAAATTATGAGCATTCGTGAGATGCCTTTCGTCGTAAGATAAGTTCCGATAGCGTTTCATTTCATCAAAGACTTCGAACATCCACATTTCAGATACGATAAACACTACTGATTTTCAACAAAGAGAGCATCCATGGTTTCTCGGAAGAGAGAAGATGATATAAACAAAACAAGTGCTTCTCAAGTTGATGCGGCATTGTTGCGAAATTTCTATTAAGCTTTGCGGATTGCTTAAAAAGATACACAACACTACTTTGAGAATATGTTGGGTAAAAAGTAAAAAAGGAGAAAGGAAAACTAGAGTTAAAATTGGCATTTTCAATTGAAAATTATATTTAAATTTCAATGAATTATTTTTCATTTCATGCATTCAATTTTTCTCGCGGCTCGTAGTTGGTGTGAAACGTGTATATATTACATTAATTTCAAGTAGAAATTAAGCAAAAACTATTAGTTTATTTTTAAAAAAGTGAACATGATCTTTTTTAAAGAACTTATTTAGTACAACTGACTTTGAAGATAGAGATTTTGCCTCAGATAGTTTTGTAGTTTAATTTAAAAAAAAACGAGTAATACCCGAAAATGAGTATCCGTATTTTTATCATCTCATATTACACAAGTGAAGAAAATGTAAAGAAAAAATTTGGAGCCGTTTTTTGAGAATTTGTTTTCATAAGTTTCAATCGCATAAAAATACCCAAAATTTACTCCTTTTCTCAAAACGTTCTACATGGCCGTTTTTGAAGAGCTAATTTTATATAACAGACTTTTTCTGAGACAAAAGTCTCGATCTCCAATTTTGAAGTTTTAATTTCGTTTCCAATTTTCGAAAAATCATGGATGTCAACGAAAATTAGACCTGCACGTCCTTTGCACTGTTCAACAATAAACTTTAATCAAAAAATTTGAAGCCACTTATTTGAAAGTTTTGAAAATGTCCCAGGGGCTTCATTTAAAGTAATCCCGGAAAAAAAAATTCGGTTCCAAATTCCAGGGTCCGCGACATCAGCTAGAATGATTGGGGAATATCAATTTTTGCCTTATCGGACGGACAGTCGTTTTGCCGTCAATCAATTTTCCGGTGTCAAGGATCCACAAAATGGATTCTGGCTACACCACGTGTTACAGGATTTTTTCTATATTTAGCAATTCGATTTATCCACTTTTCCCTTACAAAGGCCAGGCAATAAGAGTTTTTGTTTCGAAAATTCGCCATTTTTCGACACACGATTACAATTCTTTGTCGTCTTACGTTGGTAAGTGCGAAGAAGTATAATTAACAAGAAATACGAACTTCAATTTCGACGAGAACAAACAGCTCAATTATGTACAGGGGAAAATTTTCATGAGCAAGGCCACGAATGAAACTAGTGGAGCTACAAAATTACACGAATTTTCCCGTATTAGTTTTCTATTTACTTTGGTCTTGGTTAGCTATTCGAACTTGCCACATATTTTTGTCTGCTGCCATCTACCGCCGCCCAAAGTAAATTTTTTATATTAATTTATCGTTTTCCTAATTGTAGAGCCGAAATATTATTTTAAGATTCTTAAAGAACAGTAAAACTTCGTCCTAAATGGTAAGTTCGTTTGAAAAGTGGAAACCGTTTCTAAAAAACTGGGGTTTAAGCGCTATGGTACATTCGAAATTTGAAGTCCTTTTTCACAGAAAATTTTTGGGTTTTCGAAAAACCTAATTTGAAGTCATTTGAAGTACTTTAACTCAGAAATACAATAGTGTTTACAAATTGCTGGCAATGTACATATCGACGGCGTGAGAGGTCTTTCAAAAAAATACATTTGTGTATCTTTTTGGGAAAAAAAACATACACCGAAATTAACTTTACATTATATTAAAGAGTGAAATTACCACTCTCCGTTCGAAATGTTTGAAGAAAATATTTGGGCCGCTTGGGAGAAAATGGCGTTTGACGGTTTTGAAAATGCGTAGTATGAGCTAGTTCTTACAGAAAACGATTGAGTTTTCGAGAAACATTGACATTATTTAAATCACATGTACTTATAAATACAATAATGTGAACAAATTGCCGCTAATATAAATATTAACATGTGAGGCAAGTGAAAAAATACATTTTTGTAATTTTTTTAGAACACAATGGAATAGAGCAATATGGCGTTTGTCATCTTATACACTACATTTAGCACTATCCCTAACAAAAGTTTAAAGAAAAAATTTGGTTTAGGCTTCTCACAGATACCGGACGGGCAGACTGGCAGACGAACGTTTTCGTACTCCATATTGAGCCACTATGTAATTGCGATAATGCTCATTTCTTTACTTGTTTATTTCTGTTTGAAAGAAAATACCTGTTTTCTGGCAAACATTTCTTCATATATTTTACCAAAACTCTCTACATTCGAAGGGGTCAATTGCGTTTCAGTTTCGTTGTCTTCGATTACACTACGATTTATTTAACATGCCGCCTCAAGGTCACGAGCTAGATGGAGAGGGAGACACTGTCATCAAATCGAGAGCATAGTTACGATTCAAATTTTTGGTATGGGATCTACTGACCGGATGACAATGTCCTCTTCTTGCAGCTCGTGACCTTCAGGCCCCACGTTACGCAAATCGAAGTATAAATTCTTTGAAAGGCTACTTTTTGGTGGGTTTTAATTTTTTACGGAAATGCAGTGTCAGCACAAAGCCCAACCTCGAAACCTGGCAAGCAAGAATTTTTGGCGGGTGTTCTCTAGAATTGTCGACTTCACCGCTCCTTATATTGCCCTCACTGCCCATGGTTTTAATTGTAGGTTTTCCTTCCCCTCTCTACAAGAAAACAGGTAGCTTTGTGACAGATTTTCTCCCCTGGTAAATATCTTCACCACGCTTTGCTGGTCTTTCTCTATTCATGATTTTCTGTCAGTATTTTCCTTTTCGTAACCCATTAACTCCCGTTTTCAGGCGTCAGAGACTCGCCCGTGCTCTTGGCATTTTCTTATTCGCTATCCTCCAGGCTTCCTTCAGCGAGTTTTACCAGTGACCGCCACGGGGAGGAGAGAGAAGGTCTTGCTAATGTTTTCCCCAAATAGGGCATACCTAGAAGGTTATTTCTGGTATTTAGTTGGGTTGACGTAGGAGTAATGATAAGCCAAAGCAAATCAGCCACGAATCCACCATGATCATTAAAATCAATTCAACTACTTTTTTAAAAAAGTATTTTACTTCACATACTCTCGATTTCCTATTGGCTACACTGACGGGCCGAGCGCTATGGATTTCTAATTGTTGGTAATGCAACAATAAGACCCACACAGGAGGACCAAAGAGCTGAAACCAGAAACACGAGGACTCAGAGAGGTTCACAGAGGTCAAACACCACACATTCTAAAGCAACTTTTTGTTCAGAATTCTGCAATATGGAAAATAGGGAGCAAATCGTTGATAAATTTGATGCCTGGCAAGAAGTTTTTGACGACTGGCAAGGGGCTATTTTCAGCCTTCAAAATGACGTACAAATGAAATTGTCCACTATGCTGCAGGGAGGTGAAGTTTTGAGTCGAGAAGCCATTGTTACATCCGTGAATTTATGTCAAGATATTTTAAACGATTTATTGTTCTTGGAATCACAAGGTATGCTTTATTTTATCTTCTCACACAAATAATTTTCTTTTGTCATAAGCTAATTATGTTTGTGATTTTGCATTAGGTCGACCTGATTTTACGTGGTTCAAAAAGTTCGAGAATTTAATACAAATTTCATTTAATGCAGTCGAAGAAACACTTAAGAACTTACAGCTTATGATGGACCAATTACCTTCAGGACCAAAGAGGAGGAGGATGCAGACAGAAGATATGTAAAATGAACTTATAACTTTTTTGGTCATTAAATGTTTAAATCTGGATTATCTTAATACTTGAAGTAAATACTAATGTTCTGGTTTTGGTTTTTGATATGTATTGATAAGTATCTGTCCTTTGAAAATTGCGGATTTTCTTTTCTCTTTAACAGTACTAAAGGGTTTTGTGTTTGCTGGAGAATAATATTTATTTATGTCTTACAATTATTTGGCAATAGGTATTACAAACACTACTGAACCACTTAACCATCAAAGTAATCTAGCTCGTTTAAAATTATCTATAATAATGGTGATCTTTTCATTGATCTCATTCACCATTTTTCTAGTTTCTAAGATTTTCTGACTAATAAAAAAAATTTGTATACTGTAAGTGTTTATGTAGATTTGGGGTATAATTCTGATACGTTTCCTTAGGAGTATGTGCATGTGGAATACATCAGATTTAAAAAAAATTGTTCTTTCTTTGTTTTTATTAGTTTCTTGTCAATATCATTATATTTCATATACTCGCATTTGGAATTTCAATTTTCTCTTTACCAAGAAATGTGTATTAATAAAAAAATTAGCTCACAAGGTGTGATCAGATTCATAACTTTGTACCTCAAAAACTTTTTCATTAAATTTGTCAGTGATTTACTATTATGCACTGAACTTCAGGGCTTTGAAGTAATCCAATTCCACTATAATTTTCAAGAAAATATTCCGACAGGACATTCAGGAAGAAATAGAGCAAATGTATTATTTCATGTATTTTGACAATAAAGATTGTAAGAGATTCACTAGAAAATTATATTTGTATATGTGCATAATTATAATAAATGTTTTGATGATTTATTGTAATCTCTCTTTTTCCACACATTTCCTTGTACCATTACAGAATACCTCGATTTCAATTTTATATTTGTTTGTTGTATGCTACAGAACAGTAACTCAAGGAAGATTAGTTTTTGAACAAAGTATTATGAAAGCTGTAGATGTGTTGAAGACTCTATCTAATTAAAAGCAAAATTGAGATATATCCCAATTCGAGACAGTCCATTTCTCTTTATGCACAAACTATTTTTTATTGCAGTATATTTGAAAAATAATGTTGGGTGTAAGTCATACGTTGCTTTGTGAATTGATTTAAAACATCATCAGGTATGCTGGTATGCTGGAACATATTTTGTAAAATAATGAAAATTTATAGCATTCATGCAAGTCATAGTACTTTAAAAACATTATAATAATAAAGATGTTTAATTTACAAATTAACATTTACACATGTTAAAAATACTGACAATAATTATTACAGTTTGAAAATATCAAAGGACAACTGATTTTGTTAAGGGAAACAATGTTTTCAATATTGTGGTCATACAAAGATACAAAAAAAATTTTTAACTCTTGCAATTTTAAAAAAGTCAGGGGTTTTAAGGAAAATCAGATAATTAGTGCAAATGACATAGCATTTTGGTGCCACAAGTCATATTTGTAAATATAACATTATATTTTGTTCTTATGTAAATGGAGATAGAGATATTCAATTAGAAGAAAATTCTTTTATTAAGGTAATTGGAACTGGAGGTGTGAAATTAATAAATCTGAATGAAAACATCAATAATATTATTTTGAAAACAGTTATTCACATTTCAAATTTAAAATGCAATTTAATTTCATTAAAAAAAACCATTAACAATAGTTATAATTTTGCCAAGAAATTACTTTATTATGCTCATTGAGCATATCAGAAAAATATTGATTGGAAAAATCGTATGGAGACATGTGAAGCAGAAGACAAAGTAATAACACGAACTGAAAAAAATTTGAATGAATATCATTTATGGCATCAAAGAATGGGTCACATTAACCATCAAATGATAAGAATACAAAGTAAAAATGTTGTAATTGATATGCTAAATATGAATATTAATGATAAGAATTGTGAATTTTGTACATTTGATAAAATTACTAGGGAAATTTTAAAAAAGTATAAAAGGCACATCATCTAATATAGTAGGCTTGTTGGCAGATAAATTTGGTAGAACCTTTAGAAATAAGAATGAATGGTAATAATATGTTTAATGATAATTGATTATTGCAGTGGAAGAATTTTTATACCACTAAATAGAAACGAAAAAAGAGTTGGCATAATTGAAGTGTTGATATATCTGATGAGAGATAAAAGGCAAACACATCAATTAAAAAAGATTTTGTAGTAATAACAGAGGAGAATACTTAGCTTAGAATTTAGAAAAATGTTTTGAAAACAAAGGTGTAAAACACAGATACACTAAACTTTGTATGTCTAAAAGCAATGGAAACACTAAAAGGATGAATAGAACAATTATGGAAATGACATGATCTGTGGAGATATATGGAGAATTGTGAACTCATTTTTGGAGTAAAGGCATTAAAACAGCAGCGTATATCAAAAACAGATGTTAAATTTATTGAAAATGCTAAAGACATCTTATGAAATATATGTCAAGAAAGAACACCTAATATACATTACTTTTAAATATTTAACAATGAAGCTTATGTCAATATTAAAAAAGAAAACGGAAAAAAAAAAAAAAAAAAAAAAAAAAAAAAAAAAAAAAAAAAAAAGAGAGAGAGAGAGAGAGAGAGAGCAATGTTTCTTCTAATTCTAACTACTAGTACTTATTCTAACTACAGAGAAGCATACAGAATATATATATTCCTGAACATGGTGAAATGAAATAAACTGTAAGTGTAAAAGTTGCAGAAAAAAATCAACTACTTAAAAGGAAAGACTTGGATAATAATATTCAAAATTGGATTATTTATCAAAAAATGAATAGAAAGAGCGATGAAATTGAGAAGCATGTCACATGAATAAAAATAAAAGAAACAGAATACAAGCTAGAAAATGAAGCCAGTATTAAAACAGACAGAAGGAATGTTATGTGAAGAATATTATGTGAACAAAGAATATATGAAATGGATCAAGATATTGAGAAGAAAAATGGAGATCACAAATAGTAAAGTGTTGATTAGAATAAAAATACATCATCAAATAACTTATGGACATATTTCGGGACATTGGTAATTTAAAAATGGTTGCTTATCATTTTATTTTAGATATGGCCCACTGCGTAATGTTCCCCTGCTCCACCTTCTTTACCAAAGTGTCTCCCCTCCTACAGCCGCTCGCTTCCCATACTTGGCTGGAAGTGGTTGTTCGTCGCACTTCGCTTCCTGTTGCTAATTGTGTATGCATCTGGTACTTCCTGCTAACTGCTAAATATGTTATTGTTACAAAGACATTTTTAACAATTATTTTGAGTCAAAATTGTGTTCGTAATTGTCAAATTACAACATTTATCTACTATAATATTGTTAAAAGAATCACTGTAAATATTTAAGGTATTTTATTCAATAATTCCTTTTCTTGTTTTGTGTTCAGGTCCAGAGAATGAAAAAATATTTTTTACATCAATTAATTTTTTTGTTTATAGAAGATTTTCTGGTTTATAGAAGATTTTATTTTTATGATTTATAGAAGTTTTTTTAATAAATAATAAAAAGTGAAAGAATAATTATTTGAAATTGTAATTTTTAGCTATCATTTCAAATTTTATCTATTCGTTTTCCTTAATTATGAACTAATCGTTGTATCACTTATATTTTATGTGAAAATAAACATGTTACTCTTAATGTATATTTTTGTGGATAATTTATTTAGCATTATTTTCACTGTAGCTACATGACTTTGACAAATTCATTGGAGGACTAATTAGGTACTGATCATTAGCTTTGTACTATAAAACTTGATTTACAATTCATACAAAAATTATGTAATCATTGAAGTTTCTTGCTCGAGTTTTGATGTTTACAATGTTCCATCATTTAGTAATTCCAGGAAGTAAATTGAAAGGTTTAGCGCAACAGTGGCCCAACCTTCGTTCATTCGAATCTGAAATATTTTATTTCAAAATTGACATGCTCCAGTTTTTCGTATTTTTCCTATACATTCATTTTGTTTTAATCAGTACTATCTCTGTACATTAGTATTCTTTGCCATACAAGAAGAGATGTCATAAGATGAAATGAAAAGAGTAAAATTAGTTAAATTCTGTTGCTTGATGTCAAACAGATAAGACCAGTGTTTCACATAACTCCAACATTGATTGAAAAACTCAGTTTTTATTTTAGAACAAAATAAAAGTAATCCTAAAATTAACTGAAATGTACATTTATTCACTACTTTAAAATTACAGAAATTAAGTAATGTGTAGAAAATTATTGAAAATAAATGTTATGAAAATTATTGTTTGTATATAATCAGTTTGATGCAAGCCATGACCATTTTGGAATATACAAGAAAAAAATATTAAGAACAAAATAAAAATAATTACCACAATATTGTGTTTATACATAATCAGGTACGTCAAAAAACTAATCATCTTCGTGGTCTTGACCTTTCTGATCTGTTTTCAAGAGACTCATGAAGAAATCATGATATACGGTTGATACATATGCTCAGCCTTTCAATTGTACCTTGAATACCCTCTTGCTTTGTTTTACATTACTTGCAATGCAGTCATGCAGTTGTGATAGTAAAATTCTTTCTAGATTAGACACACTACTTCCAGTGAGAGTGTGAGTAGCAGTTAAAGACGTGAAGACTTATGGGATATGTCTAGAAAATTTGAAAATTCTGCCTGGTTTCCAGTGTACTTTTATCGTTAATCTAAGGAATGACAATGACTGAAGATAATCTTTCTGATTTATGAAGTAACTCCTCACTTTTCAATAAGTGAACATTATGAAAAAGTAAATGAATCTGTGTTTGGTATTACGGAATTATACTATAACTTGCAGTTGTTACCTATGCAGAATACATAAAATGTGACACCAAGAAATTTTTAATATAGTTGTTGGTGTAGGAACATGATCTTTGGTAATTGGTTGTATTGAAGTAACAAAGCTTCTGCAGCCATATGATAAGTGTAATTTTTCTAAGAAATTAAAAGAAAATTGAATAGAACACTCCCT